TGGACCTCATTGGTTCTTGCTGAAGCTCAAACGTGCTGCGTAACACGAGAATGGACCTCATTGGTTCTTGCAGAAGCTCAAACGTGCTGCGTAACACGAGAATGAACCTCATTGGTTCTCGCTGAAGCTCAAACGTGATGCGTAACACGAGAATGAACCTCATTGGTTCTCGCTGAAGCTCAAACGTGATGCGTAACACGAGAATGAACCTCATTGGTTCTCGCTGAAGCTCAAACGTGCTGCGTAACACGAGAATGGACATCATTGGTTCTTGCTGAAGCTCAAACGTGATGCGTAACACGAGAATGGACATCATTGGTTCTTGCTGAAGTTCAAATGTGCTGCGTAACACGAGAATGGACCTCATTGGTTCTTGCTGAAGCTCAAACGTGCTGCGTAACACGAGAATGGACCTCATTGGTTCTTGCTGAAGTTCAAATGTGCTGCGTAACACGAGAATGGACCTCATTGGTTCTTGCTGAAGCTCAAACGTGCTGCGTAACACGAGAATGGACCTCATTGGTTCTTGCTGAAGTTCAAATGTGCTGCGTAACACGAGAATGGACATTATTGGTTCTTGCTGAAGCTCAAACGTGCTGCGTGACACGAGAATGGACCTCATTGGTTCTTGCTGAAGCTCAAATGTGCTGCGTAACACGAGAATGGACATCATTGGTTCTTGCTGAAGCTCAAACGTGATGCGTAACACGAGAATGGACATCATTGGTTCTTGCTGAAGTTCAAATGTGCTGCGTAACACGAGAATGGACCTCATTGGTTCTTGCTGAAGCTCAAACGTGCTGCGTAACACGAGAATGAACCCCATTGGTTCTTGCTGAAGTTCAAATGTGCTGCGTAACACGAGAATGGACCTCATTGGTTCTTGCAGAAGCTCAAACGTGCTGCGTAACACGAGAATGGACCTCATTGGTACTTGCTGAAGTTCAAATGTGCTGCGTAACACGAGAATGAACCTCATTGGTTCTTGCTGAAGCTCAAACGTGCTGCGTAACACGAGAATGGACCTCATTGGTTCTTGCTGAAGCTCAAACGTGCTGCGTAACACGAGAATGGACCTCATTGGTTCTTGCTGAAGTTCAAACGTGCTGCTTAACACGAGAATGGACCTCATTGGTTCTTGCTGAAGCTCAAACGTGCTGCGTAACACGAGAATGGACCTCATTGGTTCTTGCTGAAGCTCAAACGTGCTGCGTAACACGAGAATGGACCTCATTGGTTCTTGCAGAAGCTCAAACGTGCTGCGTAACACGAGAATGAACCTCATTGGTTCTCGCTGAAGCTCAAACGTGATGCGTAACACGAGAATGAACCTCATTGGTTCTCGCTGAAGCTCAAACGTGATGCGTAACACGAGAATGAACCTCATTGGTTCTCGCTGAAGCTCAAACGTGCTGCGTAACACGAGAATGGACATCATTGGTTCTTGCTGAAGCTCAAACGTGATGCGTAACACGAGAATGGACATCATTGGTTCTTGCTGAAGTTCAAATGTGCTGCGTAACACGAGAATGGACCTCATTGGTTCTTGCTGAAGCTCAAACGTGCTGCGTAACACGAGAATGGACCTCATTGGTTCTTGCTGAAGTTCAAATGTGCTGCGTAACACGAGAATGGACATCATTGGTTCTTGCTGAAGCTCAAACGTGCTGCGTAACACGAGAATGGACCTCATTGGTTCTTGCTGAAGCTCAAATGTGCTGCGTAACACGAGAATGGACATCATTGGTTCTTGCTGAAGCTCAAACGTGATGCGTAACACGAGAATGAACCTCATTGGTTCTCGCTGAAGCTCAAACGTGCTGCGTAACACGAGAATGGACATCATTGGTTCATGCTGAAGCTCAAACGTGATGCGTAACACGAGAATGGACATCATTGGTTCTTGCTGAAGTTCAAATGTGCTGCGTAACACGAGAATGGACCTCATTGGTTCTTGCTGAAGCTCAAACGTGCTGCGTAACACGAGAATGGACCTCATTGGTTCTTGCTGAAGTTCAAATGTGCTGCGTAACACGAGAATGGACATCATTGGTTCTTGCTGAAGCTCAAACGTGCTGCGTAACACGAGAATGGACCTCATTGGTTCTTGCTGAAGCTCAAATGTGGTGCGTAACACGAGAATGGACATCATTGGTTCTTGCTGAAGCTCAAACGTGATGCGTAACACGAGAATCGACATCATTGGTTCTTGCTGAAGTTCAAATGTGCTGCGTAACACGAGAATGAACCCAATTGGTTCTTGCTGAAGTTCAAATGTGCTGCGTAACACGAGAATGGACCTCATTGGTTCTTGCTGAAGCTCAAAAGTGCTGCGTAACACGAGAATGAACCCAATTGGTTCTTGCTGAAGTTCAAATGTGCTGCGTAACACGAGAATGGACCTCATTGGTTCTTGCAGAAGCTCAAACGTGCTGCGTAACACGAGAATGGACCTCATTGGTACTTGCTGAAGTTCAAATGTGCTGCGTAACACGAGAATGAACCTCATTGGTTCTTGCTGAAGCTCAAACGTGCTGCGTAACACGAGAATGGACCTCATTGGTTCTTGCTGAAGCTCAAACGTGCTGCGTAACACGAGAATGGACCTCATTGGTTCTTGCTGAAGTTCAAACGTGCTGCTTAACACGAGAATGGACTTCATTGGTTCTTGCTGAAGCTCAAACGTGCTGCGTAACACGAGAATGGACCTCATTGGTTCTTGCTGAAGCTCAAACGTGCTGCGTAACACGAGAATGGACCTCATTGGTTCTTGCTGAAGTTCAAACGTGCTGCTTAACACGAGAATGGACCTCATTGGTTCTTGCTGAAGTTCAAATGTGCTGCGTAACACGAGAATGGACCTCATTGTTCTTGCTGAAGCTCAAACGTGCTGCGTAACACGAGAATGGACCTCATTGGTTCTTGCTGAAGCTCAAACGTGCTGCGTAACACGAGAATGGACCTCATTGGTTCTTGCTGAAGTTCAAACGTGCTGCTTAACACGAGAATGGACCTCATTGGTTCTTGCTGAAGTTCAAATGTGCTGCGTAACACGAGAATGGACCTCATTGTTCTTGCTGAAGCTCAAACGTGCTGCGTAACACGAGAATGGACCTCATTGGTTCTTGCTAAAGTTCAAACGTGCTGCTTAACACGAGAATGGACCTCATTGGTTCTCGCTGAAGCTCAAACGTGATGCGTAACACGAGAATGGACCTCATTGGTTCTCGCTGAAGCTCAAACGTGATGTGTAACACGAGAATGGACCTCATTGGTTCTTGCTGAAGCTCAAACGTGCTGCGTAACACGAGAATGGACCTCATTGGTTCTTGCTGAAGTTCAAACGTGCTGCTTAACACGAGAATGGACCTCATTGGTTCTTGCTGAAGTTCAAATGTGCTGCGTAACACGAGAATCGACCTCATTGGGTCTTGCTGAAGTTCAAACGTGCTGCTTAACACGAGAATGAACCTCATTGGTTCTTGCTGAAGTTCAAACGTGCTGCTTAACACGAGAATGGACCTCATTGGTTCTTGCTGAAGTTCAAATGTGCTGCGTAACACGAGAATCGACCTCATTGGTTCTTGCTGAAGTTCAAACGTGCTGCTTAACACGAGAATGGACCTCATTGGTTCTTGCTGAAGCTCAAATGTGCTGCGTAACACGAGAATCGACCTCATTGGTTCTTGCTGAAGTTCAAACGTGCTGCTTAACACGAGAATGGACCTCATTGGTTCTTGCTGAAGTTCAAAAGTGCTGCGTAACACGAGAATGAACCTCATTGGTTCTTGCTGAAGCTCAAACGTGCTGCGTAACACGAGAATGAACCTCATTGGTTCTTGCTGAAGCTCAAAAGTGCTGCGTAACACGAGAATGAACCTCATTGGTTCTTGCTGAAGCTCAAACGTGCTGCGTAACACGAGAATGAACCTCATTGGTTCTTGCTGAAGCTCAAACGTGCTGCTTAACACGAGAATGAACCTCATTGGTTCTTGCTGAAGTTCAAACGTGCTTCTTAACACGAGAATGGACCTCATTGGTTCTTGCTGAAGTTCAAACGTGCTGCTTAACACGAGAATGGACCTCATTGGTTCTTGCTGAAGTTCAAATGTGCTGCGTAACACGAGAATCGACCTCATTGGTTCTTGCTGAAGTTCAAACGTGCTGCGTAACACGAGAATGGACCTCATTGGTTCTTGCTGAAGCTCAAACGTGCTGCGTAACACGAGAATGGACCTCATTGGTTCTTGCTGAAGCTCAAACGTGCTGCGTAACACGAGAATGAACCTCATTGGTTCTTGCTGAAGCTCAAACGTGATGTGTCACACGAGAATGAACCTCATTGGTTCTTGCTGAAGCTCAAAAGTGCTGCGTAACACGAGAATGAACCTCATTGGTTTTTACAGAAGCTCAAACGTGCTGCGTAACACCAAAATGAACCTCATTGGTTCTTGCTGAAGCTCAAACGTGTAGCTTCGTTAATGTTGTGTTTACTGAACTGACGCAAACCTCACATTTGTTGACCCTTGCCGTAAATCACTGCCGTAAGCCTTAAAGGCACCGTAACCTGTCACTCGCAGTGCATAACATCACAGAGTCCAACAGGAAACATTACTGAACGTTTTCAGACATAACATTAAGCCCGCCCAACGACTCTATACATGATGTGATTGGCCTGACTAGAGTTTGGTTTTTCCAGTTCGAAAGCCAACGGAGAGTTGCTATATGACCCTGGCTGCCAATTACATTGCTGCCGCTAAGGTGCATCTAGATTTCTAGGCTAGATGAATGTTTCTTTGTGAATAAAGCCTGTTCATCAAATAAATGGATTGTGTCTCTTCAGAAAATAATATAAATAGAAAATATTTATAACAAAGATATATTTTATTCCTCTGCACACTCCAAATGTCTCAGTGTCGTTTTTGGTGATAAATAAATTAATAAACAGAGTATAAAAGACCAGACAGAAAACCAGACAATATTCAGAAGTCTGTGCTCACCCTCTTCTTATAGCAGGGGTCACAGCGCGTCCATGAAGACCATTCAGACAGTGAACAGTCCACGGGGTCTTTAGGCGGCTGAACAGCGTCTCCTGAACTGCAAAGCACTACAGCACTGTTGGAAGCAGATTTATGTTTTTATTTTATTTTATTTCATAAACCATCAAGCATGGTAGCACTTTACAATAAGGTTCATTAGTTAACATTGGTTAACTCAACGCTATCTCATGAACAATTCGTACGAGTGATTAAAAGGTGGCTAATTCGTACTAATTCATACGACCTCACTCGTACGAATTTGTACAATTTGTCTAAACCCACGTGATGGGTAGGTTTAGGGGCGGGGTCAGGGGTAGCTCATTCGTACGAATTCATACGAATTTGGTAACTCGTAAAATATGTACCAATTAGCAAAAATCGTACGAATTTGTACGAGTGAGGTCTTATGAATTAGTACGAATTAGCCACCTTGTAAAATTCGTACGAATTGCCGTGAGATCGGGCTGGTTAACTACATTAGTTAACATGAACAAATAATGAACAATACTTCTACAGCATGTATTAATCTTACTTCATATTAATTTCAACATTTACTAATACATTATTAAAATCAAAGGTTGTATTAGTTAACATTAGTTAATGCACTGTGAGCTAACATGAACAAACAATGAACAGCTGGATTTTTATTAACTAACATTAACAAAGATTAATAAATACTGTAACAAATGTATCATTGTTAGTTCATGTTAGTTAATACATTAACTAATGTTAACTAATGAACCTTATTGTAAAGTGTTACCGATCATTTTTATTATTTTATTAAAGAGGGGTTTACTGTTTTTTTTTCTAAATTATTGGTATTTTTGTATATTTGTATTTATTTTATAATAACAGATTGATAATGTTGCTGTCTACAGTCCACTGAACACTACAGTCACAAAACTAAATGGTCAACAATTCTCTGAATGGTGCACAATGACCAACATGATTACATCAAAAAGTGAATCATTCAAACGGAAACATTTATTTAGATCACTGGAAACCAAGCAAATACACTGTACATTCATGCTCATGAAGTAAAATGTTCCTACGTACCATATAATGCCCAGACAAAGTATTGTTTCTCTGTAAGCTGAATTAGCTCTTAGAAAACTTTGCATTGTAATGTCAGGTAAACCTAGATAATAGTAGACTAGATAACCCAGGACCAGACCTTAAACCCTCAGACCTACCCAGCAGCCCCTCCTCTACTCTGTGACGACGTTCATACACATCGGCTTTTATACACAAGAGACAATGCTGCAGTTAAATTGTGCACCTCTATAATATTAAATTACTTGTATTAGAGAGCATTTCATTTTTCATACTTGCAACGTTTTGCAATAAAACTATAAATATTTATTTTGAGCCATCAAATAACATACATTTTTTAAAAACATAACATCTAATGTATTTTAATGTGTTCTCCTTTTAAGGGTAGAACAAATCAAAAACCTACGGGCATTCAGGCTTTTCCAGGATGTGTTATTTCAAGTCTTGGTTTCTCGTAAATGAGTCTCATCAAAGCGAACAGACAAAATCAATAGAAAATTGTTTGTTTTGAGCTGCATTCAATGTAACCATTGGACTCTCTGTTAAACATTAATGATCTTATTTACATTAACTGACATGTAATTTTCTTTGTTTTTCAGACTTTTTAAATTTTTTTTTACAATTGACATGCTTTTCGCACAGTTATATTCTAATATGCAACTTAATGCACTGCTTAATCTCTCTTTCCGAATGTATAGAGTTTTTTATACAGGCCTAAAAAAACAGAACAAAAACAACAACATAACAATGACAGACAAAATGGCTGCAGTTGTACAGTATGTCCACAATCAGTGTTGGGGAAAGTTACTTTTAAAATCAAGTAATGCATTACAATATTGTATACGTAATTGTTACTATAATTGGGGTTTAACAAGCGTTTAACAAAAATGCTAACATAACAACAACCAGGAAAGACAAAGAGCATAGAGAACGTACACATGGGAAACACCAAAGACTGACTAACAAAGCACAAGAGAAGGGCTATATATACACAGGGTCAAACAAGCATATCAAGATAACAGATTAATAAGACACACCTGGGGAGACGAATCAACAGAGAAAAACTACAAAGGACTACAACAGGGCAGAGATGTTCACAAGTCATTTTTTGGAAGTTCAAGTCAAGTCTCAAGTCTTTTGTCAAGAGTCCAAGGCTCAGTCCACTTTTAGAAACGCGCTTGCGATCTTCCCCCTCGGGGGAATCCCTGCGGCCATTTTGAAGTGCGTTCCACTTCGTGAAGTGGACGAGGGAAGTTTATATGGACAGACACTTGTTCCCTCGATTTTGACCGAGGGAGCGAGTCTACTTCATATGTACACTTCAGGCAGCTCCATATACCACAATGCAACACGATTGTGACGTCACCGCAGATCTCGTCTAATCACCACCACGACAAACAACTCTGATATATTAATTATATATATTTTTAATTTAAAACAACCCAAACACACCTATATACATTTGGATGCTGCATTAAACAAATTCTTAAAGGAAATTTTTTTTAAATAATAAATCAACTCCATGGCTGATTCCAAGTGATCAAGGGCTTCCAATTCAGCCAATTGCAGTTTCCGCAGTAGTGGGCACTCGTGCAACGTAAGCAGTGACGTACATCCAACCAAATTTTCTATACTACTTTCTAGCAAATCAATTACAATATTTATTTAAATGGACTCAAAAGCACAAGTTAAGCAACCCATGGCTAGAATTAGAACAAAATCATTGTACACCCACGTCAATTGCAGACCTTGCCTTTTTACCACCTTCAATAAAAAAACTGAATTATTTTAAGTATATAACAATCTCTTCAACTCTCACAGCCTGGTGGAAAACTAATAAAATTACCAGATCACTTATAACACCTTGCAAATATACTCCAATTTGGCATAATCCAGATTTTAAACTGCAAAACACTCAAGTGTATTTCCCAGTATGGCAGCGCAGCGGAATCATCCACCTCCATCACCTATTTGAAAATAACCAACTCATATCATTCAATACACTAATACAAAAATACAGGGTTGGGAGAGAAGAGTTTCTACATTATCAACAACTAAAATCCTTAATTAAATCCAAAATTAATATTACCAATAACACATTACAAACCTCAAAATTAAGTGATGAGATAACAAAAATTACAGATACAAAAAACATGATTTCTAAACTCTATCAACTCATATTCTGGGCAAGTGTGGAGCCTGGGGCCTTGAGATAGTACCTTCACTCCGTCTGCCTGTACTCTTTTGCCCTGCATCTCTGGTTTTCTGTCAGGTTAAGCACTACATGTATTACCTTTCTTAATGCATTACATTTCGAGATACATTTAATTGGTTGCTTAAAACAAGGAAAAACAAAAAACAAAACAAAAAAAAACACCTAGGCCTAAGCAGGATAAGCGAGGCATGATCGTGGTGACCTGGGTTTGCATGGAGCTGGTTCCACGCTACACGTCTCGTTTTTTTCTTTTAATGCAACACACTAGCTAACATGCATATACATCTATCACGAGCAAAAAAAAAAGAGAAGAAAAAAAAAAGGAAAAGAAAGGGAAGGAAAAAAAAACACACACACACACACACAAAAAAAAAAAAACACAACAACAACAACAACAACAAACAAACAGGGTAAGCATGGCATGTGTGTGACGGCCGGAGGTGGGGAGTGTTCTTGGTGGTGAGTGATGGGGGGTCCTTGGGCCCCAGGCTCCGGTGCACATCGTCTTATCGCCTATAGCCCATTGTAGTGTGTCTTGGCCAAGGGGAGATCAGAGACATCTTTTTTTTTTTTTTTTTTTTTTTTTTTTATCATATTAGCCTTAATTTTTTTTTTTTTTTTTTATTATTTTTTTTTATTATTATTTTTATTACTATTTAGTTCATTTTTGATCATGTCTGTTGTATCTGTAAGATTTTCTTCTGTTAAGTTATTTCCACTTACACACCCAGTAATACATGCACACACACATACACACGTTTATGTATGTTATTTTCATGTTTATATGTTAATGTCTATGTATGAGACCTTTATGTTTTTTGTTGTCATAATATAATAAAAATAAATAAAAATAAAAAGCAGTGACGTACATCCGAGTGAACAAGACGGAGGGAAGTTTGCGAGTGAAGAGCATGACCATTTTGGACTGGAACGCAGCCCAAGTCAAGTTGCTTAGTTTGGTTGAATTGGATCACTGAAGATCAAAGCAAAGACATTGGTTAATAAAGTGAGATTAAATACATAAATTATATTTGTGTTATTTAACAAATTATTGCAGGTTGGGGGATAATAAGGGGATGTTTATTTGATTTTCATATACAAAAGTAAGGGAATAAATCTTCAAGATAGAGCAAAAAAAAAACAGAGACAATAATAATACCATTTATTTACCTACACAAGGCAATAAAGTAAGTCAGTAGCAAGGACAGTTAGCAACCACTGCAGGCTCACAACTAACAAGAGTTAAAGCTACATCTAACTCATAGCCATCAGCCACTGCTCTCACTTCAACACACACACACAGGCACCAGTCTGGGGTCGAGGAGAAGTGTTCCTCACGGCAGCATTGTCACGGCGCTCTTGGTTCTCCGAAGCTCATCCCAGAGTTGCTGTCAGCAACAGGTCCGTAAGATCAAACTTTCTGAATTCAACGTGTAATGTGGGATAGATTGGATATTTCAGTGCAGAGCGATAGTTTACTTTTGGAAAGTCATGAGGGTATTATGTACCTGATTCATTTGTTGGACCTTTGTATTAAAGTTCGACTCGTCAGAGTCGGGCTTTAACAACAACAAGCACAGACTGTGTGCTTTGGCCTGAGATTATTTGCGAGTGGCACTTTCCTGTACACTATTGGAGAAAAGTGCTGTCTGTCATGCCATTCGCAAAGTATTCCTGGCACTTGAGAGTTTTTGTGCAATTTCAAAGCCACTTAAGACCCCAGGTTGTAAAACTCCATTGCAGGTACATTATTCTGTAATTGTTATTGAAGATCATGCAATCATGATCATGCCAGTAAGCATTACTTA